CACCTTCAGACACCACTGCCGGAAGTCCCAGCGCACGGCACACAGGTGACTGGGATCACGAACGGGGGTGGGGTTCACTCCCAAATCCCTCAGATGTGTCCCCACCCGCCTGTCCTGACCCTGCCGCGGCCCCCGACCCCAACCCGGACCGCGCTGCCTCCTAGGAGCAGGGTCTCGGGGGTAGGTCTGGTTGTATTTAGTCTCTGGGTACCTCTCACTCCTATAACCATTTCTGGGGTGACCAACTGAACTCTCACTGGTGTGGGTGTCCTGCACCTGCCCACTGTTCTTGGGAGGGGCTGACCTTGGTTCTCATCTCCTTCCTCCCTGGCACAGCCTGGGGTCCCTACCACCCAGTGCCGAGCCTGCAGGCACACAGGCAGCAGTGTAAGAACCGGGGTAGGCGTTCAATGGGGAGGTAAGTCACGGAGCCTGATCTCTCAGGGAGGGAGCTTTAGCAAAAGTGACCCCTCCTCCAGGTGCGAGCAAACAGCCCCAGCCGGGACGAAGGGCTTGGGACGAGGGCTGGACCCCAGGCCCTCCCCGCTCATCAGCCTGGCGTCTGCAGGTTCCGCACAACCGTACTCGGCTGTCAATCCAACACTTCCCAGCTCTGTGCCGGTGGTGAAACGTGCTACCCCAGCACGCACGGGAGGGCGGCCCAGCTTCCATGCACAGCTCAGGGCCAGCTCACAGCACGGCACGGCGCGCACGCCCAGGCAGCGCCCCAACAGGCGCCTGGGCCCCCTGCTGCCTGCTCCCCAACACTCATCAGTCACCCAACGGCCAGACACAGACCCCGGATGTCCACACAGCTGCCACCAGTAGGCCCTCTGCCTCACCGGCCTGGGCACGCGGCCACGGCGCTGGGAGGGGCTCCGGGGGCCACGAGGCTGCAGCGGGCGGCCAGGGCCGCAGAGCCCGGCCGGGAGACGGCCTGCAGCGCTCGGCGTCGCGGCAGTGCCCGCTTCACGGCCTGTGGGCCAGCCCGGGCGCCCCTGTGCTGCGAGAAGGGGGGCGGGAGCGGGACACGAGGGACGCCCCAAGGCTGGCCGCGGGCTCCCCCGGAACCTGCGGGGTCACCGGCTGGCCCGCCTGGCCGCGGCGCAGCGCTGCGGGAAGGGGAACCCACGGCTCCGCCGCCCACACACTCTGCTCAACTCACACACCGTCAGTTGTTCTAGGACTCTCGACAGCGCCTGAGTGTGAAGGAGAAACTACGGGAAACTGCAGCCTGGGTACGGACGCTCTGACGTCGCTCCAGCGCCGCCGCCCGCCCGGCACGACCCCTCAGTGCTGCTGGGCAAGCGCCCGGCACGCGGCCCCTCCGGCCTCACAGGAAGACGCCCGGCACCCGGCACCTCCGGCCTCACAGGAAGACGCCCGGCACTTCCGGCGTCTCAGGAAGACGCCCGGCACGCGGCACCTCCGGTGTCTCACAGGAAGACGCCCGGCACGCGGCCCCTCCGGCCTCACAGGAAGACGCCCGGCACCCGGCTACCTCCAGTGTCTCACAGGAAGACGCCCGGCACCCGGCACCTCCGGCCTCACAGGAAGACGCCCGGCACGCGGCACCTCCGGTGTCTCACAGGAAGACGGCTACTTCCTGTCAATCCAGCATGGGCTGCAGCCCACCATGGTTCTTGGTCCAGCATTGCTCAGTCCTCGCTGGCTCTGGCCTCAGCTGCTGCACTTCCTCAAACCCAAACACGGAATTCAGCAGGAAGCCACCTTCTCCCGGGCTACAGCAACCCCACCACCATGAGACAGCCCCAAACCTCAGCACCTCAACCCCGACGGGGTGCTCCCCAGTGACTCCTCTCAGACCTTCCCCAAAGACTCAAGACGAGAGTTCCAGAACCTTCCACCTTTCCTCCCATCTCCCACAGCTGAGACCCTCTGCCCTCCCCTCAGCAGCCCCTCCCTGCCTCCCAAACTAATCAAGGAGCCGGCTCTGCCTCCAGGGTCACATGCCAACCTCCCCGCTGTGCCTCGGCCAGGGCCTGGCCATCACAGGCTCCCGGGGACACATGGAGGCTGGCTTTGTGTCCTGGAAACCTGCACACACCAGGCCACAGCTTCCTCGGACAGACGGTTGTCCTGTTGGAGTACACAGATATGCACAGCACGCGTTAGCCACCTGTACCTCAATCTTGTAGCAAACACAAAGAAAGGATCAGCTAGGCCACGTTTGTGCTCCTGGCCTTCCTCGAGCAAAACCACACAATGCTTAGCAGCAAATGAAATTATTTTGCAAATCCTGATCCTCAGAAGGCCACCCCCGACACAGGTCCTGTCCTCCCTTCATGGGTGTGCATGGCACTGCTGTGACTCGGTGTGGTAACTGTATTACAAAGCTATTACTGGATGAAATGAAAATGGAAAACAATTTAAATGCTTGTCTAAAAAGACTCCATTAGAATGCAATTATGAGAAATGACAGCGGCAAGATCATTGAAATGCGAGTCTGGAAGGCACAGCTAGGAAACATTGAAGGCTTGTGGGGGGACGCACGAGGCTGAAGAAGCTGCAGTCCTGGGGACACGCTTGCAACCCACGCAGCAGGCAGCAGCCACGGCCAGATGACGAGCCCTGTGCTCCAGGTGCTGGGAGCCTCACGCGGGCCGGAGCTCCCCCGGGAGCTGCATCATCAGGGCTCTAGCAGGAGGGCGTGAGGAGGCTCTGCACCCATCAGCGCTGGAAATGAAAAGCAGGACCGCAGCACCGGAGATTTTACTGTGGGGATGCCTGCAGCTGTGCAGTATCCGCGTGGGTGGAGCTGCGGCAAATCCTAACAGACTCCGGGGCCTTCACAAAGTGTATGGACAATGGAATTGAAAGATCAGGTTAGTACGCAGGCATCTGGTGACTCCTAGGATGCCTGCATTCCGTATGAAAGGGCCCGGGCGTGGGTCCCCTCTCTGGTTCCCGCTTCCTGCTGTGCACACCCTGGAAGACAGCAGGAGACAGCTCAGGTAGCTGAGTTCCTGCTCAGGCTGGACAACTGCACGGAGTTCCTGGTTCCTGGCTTTGGCCTGGCCCAGCCCCAGGCATTGCCAATACTTGGGGAGTGAACCAGAGGATGTGACTCTAATAATTTTCTTAAAGATATGTTTATTTGGACACCAAAGATGTTTGAAATCCATGCGTGTGTTTTTCATAATATGCATTCCCACAACCTTTCTGAGGCCCCCTCATACACATGGATTTCGGATTTTTAAAGTTATCATATTATCAGCATATCAGTTTATGTTTATTTTATTTCTTCTCATCTACTTGAAAGGCAAACAAGAGAGAGAGATCTCCCACGTGCTGGGTCACTCCTCAAATGCATTCAATAGCCAGCGCAGAAGCCGGGAGCCCAGAACTCCACTTTGGTCTCCCAAGTGGGTGCAGGGGCCCACGTGTTTGAGCCATCTCCCCCGCCTTCCCAGGCACACCAGCAGGGAGCTGGACAGAGAGGAGCAGCCAGGCCTCTCACAGGAGCTCCGACAGAGGATGCCTGTGTCCCACCCTGCAGCTTAATATGCGGCTCTGCAACACCCACCCCTAACTTCAATCATTTTTGCACCCAAATAAATTTATCTTTTCACTCCACTTTCCCACAGACATTTGAAACACCCTGGTCTGTTGAGCCCATACTTTTAATGGGTGGGGACAATCGCCCACCAAAAGAAAACAAATAAAAGATAGTGCTGGACAGACACGGTGGACCAGATCAGTGATCGTATGTTCTCTGGGACTCAGTGACGTCTGCATTTTGGTGGCCAAAAACTCACCAATCCACCAGCAAAAATATGCAAAATGCATTCCTTTACCCTCCTTAACTTGCTTCCACAAATCTATTTTTTTTTTCACAAATCTCTTTTCTTTGGTTAGCATTAAGATAAGCAATATGAAGTAACAACACAGGGTTAAAGAAATAAAGGACGTGCGTCCTCTTCCATGAACAGCTCTCTCTGTCACACGGCAAGGCAGGAAACAAGACATCTGATTTTACTCAGAGATGATTTCCCAGCATCCATGACTGTGACATTCGTTTATAAAGCCATTAGGTTTCCACAAACATAATCAGGTCCTTGTTGTTCTTGAGCCTTGGTTTACACAGCCCCGGTCAATGCAGGTATGAATACCTGGCTGCTTCTACAGGTTCCTTTCACATGAAGGTTCAGCAGGCACACAAGTGTGTTCCTTGTGGCAGAATCTGCAAGGGGGTTCAGAGTCCCCCAACTCGGACAGTGGGACGCCCCTGCTATGGTGTGCCTGCCTCCCAGCCCATCACGTTCCTCCCACAGAAAACAGGAGCCCTGACCCCAGCTCTGTGAGACGGTGAGCCTTAAGGGCCAGGCAACCCGAAACGAAAGATAGGCTGTGAGGAGGCCATGCTAACCTTGAGCAGGTGTAATTTAAATACTGTAATGATCTGAAATCACTTTTAAAGTATTTCAGAAAATGAAGTTTGTTTAGGTACAAACCTTGGAAAATATTTTTTAAAAAGCCACTCAGAGAAAATTCTGCGAACGGGGCTCACTGGAAAAATAAGCAAACAGCTACCCACAGATCACAGGAAACCTAAAATCACCAGATCCAAAGGCTGTAAACACAGCATCTCCCAGCGCCCTGACCTCACACGTGTCAGCACCGTGTAGTCGCGGGCTCTGCGTCCAGATGAGGACCAACCAGTGTCCCACAGCAGCTCTGTTCATCGTCCAGGGCAGATCCACAAAGACCTTTCACGGTGCGGGTCAGAGCACACGCACTCACCCATCCCCCAGGGCCCCCGGCACCACTGACAGCCGGGTAACAGGTGGCCACACACACGTGGTCACTGCACCACTGGTTGGGTTCTGAGCGTGTCTACGATTTCTCCTCATTAAAAATTCTGTTGGAAAAAATGCAGTTGGTGCTGTGGATGAAGACTAGCGATTCTGTACGCCAACATCCACGCCCGACAAATACACCAGTTCCAGACCCACCCGCCCTGTGCCCGCGACACTCACCGAGCCATCCCGACCCCGAGTTTGGAATGCACAGGTCTGTCTCGGCGCTGGGCAGCACGAAGCCCACCACAAACACCTCCACGCCGTCGGCCATCACAGCCATACCCAGGACGAAGAAGAGCAGCCACTGGAAGCGGCCGTGGCCACACTCCTGCATGATGAGCTCATACTGCTGGGCCAGCTCCTCCTCGTCCGCCCGCCGCTCCGACTCCAGCTCCCGCCGGTCCTTGTACTGGGGGCCGGGGGGCTGTCCCACGACCACGACACCGTCCTTGGCCTGGGGCCCGCTGGGGATGCCCTGGTACTCCCCCTCATAGATCTCGTCGTCCTCATCGTGGCCCTCCGTGGCCTCGCTGGAGCCCTCATCCTCCTGGGTGTCCCCGGGGTAGGTCTCCCCGGGGAGGTCGTCCTCGTCGGCATCCTCGTCCTGGAAGCGGTGGTAAGACCTCTGCGTGTAGCCATCTTGGGCCTGGTCCACCGCCTGGTGCACATGCTTCCTCACCTCCCTGGCGACGGCCTTGGCGCCCTGCACCAGTGACGTCCTGTCCTTGGGAGCCTCGTCCATCTCACCGACGGGCAGCAGGCGGCAAGATGGGCACGCTTAGCCTGTCCGGGGCTTTCCGCTCTGGGCTCGAGACAGACCTGCAGAAGGAGAGAAGCGGGGTCACTGTGGTCCCTCTCTGCATCCCTCCCCAGCGGCTGGGTGGTCCTGTCCGCTGACCACGCTTCCCTCTTGGGTCCCAGGGCCATGGCCATGCAGGACTGGCACCCACAGCCCCCAGCACTGTTTACGGAAGTCTGTCCCCACTGAACACTGAACAGCTGTTCCCGAGAATAAAACAGGGCAGGTGCACCTTTAAAGAACACCCAAGGCAGCTCAGACGTGCGAGGAGGCGTCACCGTGACCCGGAACACGGTCACACTGCCCACTCTCACCCAGGCACGCTTCGTGGGAGAGCCATGCACGGCCTGGCTCCTCACACTGAGCCAGCAAGCAGCTGGCACACAGCACCATGGCTGCACCCGGGAGGCTGCACCATGCTCCCTTCCAGCACAGGTGACAAAGACGACGAGTGCTCGGCCAGGACGGCAGCCCCACCTGCAAGAAACAGGCACCGCCCATCCAACCACTCGGATGCATCCGGGGCCGCAGAGTCGAGCCCACGGTGGTGGTGGGACCCGCCCTTCACTTGCCACCCAGGCAGCCACACAGCTGAGTCCTGGGTGTCGCACCTTCACCCCCACAGCCAGCAGGCGCCGCAGGCCCTCCCCTGTCTTCCCCTTGCCCCCTACCACTCCTCCCACTGCCACTCCGGGCGCCTGCTGTCTCGGGTGCCACAGCTGACATCATGGGGTTTCCTTTTTACTGAGAGGCCTATGCTTTAGCTCCTTGAACCTGGGCTGACCACACGGTCACCTGCAGCTCACCTGTGCACTGCACTCTCTCCTGGTGGCTGCCCTACCCGGCCACAGACGGCAGAACAGTGGACAGGTCACTTTCCCACCATTAATTCCCAGTCCCACGCTGTGAGGCCACCTGGACATCCTCCTCTTTACAGCCCTTGGCCAGCAGCTACTACAGAGAAACCGGCAACCAAGACAGGACAACGTCACGCGTGATGGGCCATGAGTCATCTGCCCACGCCGTTGGCGCCAGTGGCAGGACAGACGCGCAGCTGCACAGCCACGCATTTGGAGACGACAATGCAGCTAAGCAAATGACTACAAGAGTTCTCAACACATGCCTGCAGGGTGGGCTTCCCTCCTGTTTCTTTCTTTTTAGAGGCCCGTGCTTTGAACACCGACAGAACGCACGCGTTGAGCATGGCTGACGGTGCCAGTCTTCCCGCCCTTGAGGCGCTGCTCTTGGCTCCTCCCAGGCCACTGGCAATGAGATGCCGCCAAGGGAGGCCAGAGATAGGGCCGAGGCACGGCTGACCCTGCCCCCACACCAGTGCCTCGTCGCAGCAGGAAGCCCCTGGCCACACCCAGGTGCCCGGATCCACGTCCTGTCTGCACTGCTGGTCCAGCTCCCTGGTCACAGCCCAGCTACCTGAACCTCCGCCACTCGGCAGGAGATCTGGATCAAGTCTTTGATCTTGGCTTTGGCCCGGCCCATCCCTGGCTGCTGCTGGCACTTGGGAAGTGAACCTAAGGATAGCGGTTCTCTCTCGCTGGCTTTTAAATAAAGAAAACAAAATAATGTTCTACAAGAACGGCAGTCATAAAGCTGGCTGCATCCGACTCTCTCTGCTTCCTACCACATGCAGCAGCTTCGCGGCGGCCACAGACAGGGTCTCACCTGCCACAGCTGTCGTGGGAGAGGCATGGCGCTAGTCCCAAGGATTCTAACCACTGAGTGACAAAAATAAGTCAAAAGAACGTAACAAGCATTCATGTTTCCAAAGCACACTTCTCGCAGATTCCTTAAACTCTGGGGCAGACCCTGGCAGGTGCGAGTTCTCTTCTGACAGCTGCCAGGCAGGAGGAGGGACCCGGTCTCGCAGCTCAGGTTCACAAACACTGCTGGCGTCTTGCACAAACGAGGGCAGTGTGGACACCGAGTCAGCGTCCCGCATAGAATCAGAGGCCGGTGGGGGCTGCTGTGAGGGCCATGGGCGAGAAGCACGGGTCCTGAATTGTGTGTGACTCAACAGGATCCCGAGGTGCAAACCCAGACAGAAGCGAGAGCAGCCTGGCTGGGCGTGCAGGACAGCCCAGCAGGGTCAGAGTTCACGGCACGGCTACAGCTGCCCGGCAGACAGGAAGCTGTGGAAAAGTCGCTCTCTCCAGAAGTCAGAGCGGTGCCTGCCCCGGAGCCACACCGGGACCTGGGGTGCAGTTCCCCAGGTCGGGGGGGTTGCCTACAGGGATGCCCCGGGCAGCAGCACTAAGTGCACAGACGGCAGACGGCTGTGCCTGGAATGAGCAGCCCTGCTCCACCACTGCGCCACGCGGGCACCGCTTCACTGGCCAGGGACGCCGGGTGCCACCTTCTCCCGTGCTGTGTCCTGACCTCAGTCCCACAGGACAGACAGTGCAGCGTCCAGCTGAGGCGAGGAAGGCTGGGACGGAAGAGCCTGCCCTCCGCTGCCCGGCCTGTCCCTCAGGAACAGGCCTCACCTGCCTGGGCAGCGCTCCTGCCTGGGCTCCTCCCACCCCCCCCCGGCCTGCAGCAGCCTCTTCTGTAAACCTCGCCACAGACTGCGGCAAGGACGACCATGGCCGCGGCATCGCCAGCACCGAGCTTTGCCAACGCCGATTCCCAGAGGGGTCAGGCAGCTGCGCTCCAGTAAACACTTCCCAGAGCACACACCCCGGCCCCTGCCCCCTGAGCCGTGTGCACACACCCCGGCCCCTGCCCCCTGAGCTGTGTGCACACCCCCGGACCCTGCC